GGCAATTTTCACACATCGCAAATTTCCTTCCGTAGAATTTTCTAGTTTTTTTTCTGATGATTCCTTTCGACGTTATTATCATATTGGAACAATAAAAAGAAGGGGTCACCGGACTTGTTTTCATGCAATAGCTTTCGTGAGTTTAGCAATTTCCACGCGCGTTCTCGCGCATTTAAAAATCTGGATTCTATAAGATCGACATTTGCTCATGATCTGTTTTAGCTACCGCTGACAATTGCGTGTGCTCGCGCGAGCACCTACGATCTGATGTTTACAGACGTTTACTGCTAAGAAAATCATTAAACAGCCGTCAAAGACAGCTTCCCGAGCTCATCTTAAAAATCCTACACATCACTTCTGGCTGTATCATATTATTCTCCTTGAGGTTTCAAAGTCTTCTTCCACTTCAGGTAGATTATCCTTCACTTGAGTAGTTCTTTTTTCGCCGTCGCAAGATTTCATATCGGTTGCGAGGATTTTTTTCTACTTATCTGAGAAATTTACCTAAGAGCTTGTATTTGATGTGTTGAGCGGCCACTGTGAATGCAGGAGATAGAAACTAAGATAAAGAAGACAATTTTCGGAGAAGTAAAGGTTGCTTCACTTCACATTGAAAAGAAATATTCAACCGAAATGAAATCTTGCGATGTGTGAAACTTGCCTTTTTTCTAGATTTTCTGAAATTCCGCTCCGTAGAATTTTTTAGAAATCTTTGTGCATTTTCCTTTTCAAGTGCCAAATGCAATCACTGAAAAAAATCACGGGGTCACCGGGTTAGTTTTCGAATTATTTAAGCCACAAGCTAAAAAATGCGTCTGAATACGCCTATGAAACCGTTGCCATGGAAACTGCCAGTGACGAAATGACACCTATTTTTGGATAACCAACTATTATATAATTCAACCCCGTAAAAGTGTTCAAATGGCCTTGGTCAGTCTTTCTGTTGTATTCTTTCAAAGTTACAAACCATCAAAAAGATGAAAACCGGTACGAGCCACCTTAACAATACTTGTGGTGTAATATTCCTTTGTTTGGCAGGTTTGTAGTTGGTTTATCCTTCCGAGCCTTATCAGACAACGGCCTCTTATTATATGGCACCGACAATGACACACACCCAACTCAGTTCTTTTCACTCGAACTTGTCCATGGAAAACTGGTCTTCGAGTTCAACTCGGGTAAAGGTCTGGTTTCTATGGCCAGTGAAGGAAAATATTCTGGAAACGGGCAATGGTTTTCGGTAAGAACATTTCATTACCTTGCTGGTTCGTAATCAAGTATACATCGTGGAGTCATTGAATACGTAGTCCACAGTCATTAGGAAATTTTCTCATTCAGTTGCTAAATCCATTCTTGGTCAGTTCAATTCATAGGGCTAAATAACAACATTTGAACCATTATCGTGAAGTTTAATGTCATTAAATTGATTGATATAATATCAGGTTCATATTCTTCGCGTGTTTCAATTTGGTGCCATGCTAACTAGTACTATGGATTATGTAAATGGAAGACACGACTCGCCCAGTCTGCCAATGAATCTACGCCATCTGTATATTGGTGGACTACCCATTTACGTGGTTGCTCCGACCGTCACAAACAGGCATGTTGTTTCATGAAGATACAGTAAGATAGATGGAGTCCTTTGAAAATTTGTTCACGCGGAGAGTCTTAAGAGACAAGCGGATAGTGGCCTTTAACTAAATCTCGACAAAATAAGTTTTGCTTTCGAATTCCAATATGATTGCAAACGGCTTGTCGTGTCCTGAAGATACAGTGACGTGGATTGCATCTTTAGAAATTTGCTCACTGGTGAAATTTTAAGTGACGAGCAGATAGCGGCCTTCACTAAATCTGGACAAAATCAGCTGTATTCTCGAATTCCAATTTAATTACAAACGACACAGAACTAAAGAACGTAGATGATATCAATGGTGAATTTGATTTACGTAGTTCTGTAGTGATGAGTTAACTTACGACCATGGAGACTGCCCGTTAATGGAAAATTAACTCAATAAATTTCGTAAATTGTTTGATAATCACAACTGTCTTTTAGTAAACTAGTACGGCATAACTTACTCTATACTTTTGCTGTTATTTTAGGTACCTAGGGTTTGCAGGCTGTATAAAAGATTTCGATGTTGCCAACAGTGAATCGTTGTTCGATTTTACCAAACCCGACAGAAGAGGCTCTAACGAGACTCGTGGCTCGTGTTACGACAATGCTCAGCCAGGACTCGGTTTTAATGGTTCCTCTTGGGCCAGATTTGGTAAGTGGTGCAGTCCTATCTTGATAGTTGATACATTTAGGTAAATTGAAATCCGTTTCTGCTTGTACTCCAAGTCGTAAGATATCTTGGGATACATCCGAAAGAAAGGTAAATTGAAACCAATTTCTGCTTGCAATCTAAATCGTATGATATTTTGGGATACTTCCGAAAGAAATCGTAGGCGTAATATATGGACGAAGAGCTACAACTTGTTGAAACCTAATACAAAATCAATACAACATTCTCTCGAATGAATGAAATTATACCCGTAACATGCGTTTATCATAAGAAGGAATTGATTCATTGGAACTTAGGAGAGATGACAAAAAAAAAAAAAAAATGTATCAACCTAACTGCACATGTTATTTTCTGGAGTCACTTCTTTCTATTCGAGAGTAAGGAAAGCCAAACCTCATAAAATTTCTTGATTTTTAGATGACTTCAATTTAAGTGCAGAGTTCAATGTTCAGGTGACTTTCCGTACCTCATCACGGGATGGATTGTTGTTTCTGATAACAAGTGTTCCCGATTCTACAGGTTAGTAAGACTCGAATGATTTCAAATTCGTATGTGTAAACGATACTTGAAAGATGGCTAACGTTACACTTCTAAATACGTCATTCAAGTAAAATTGCCTGCGACTTTGTGCGCAGTTGTGAGCAAGAATCGAATACTTTTCATTTGATGTATATTGGTACTAATATCACACTCCTCATAAATAGCGAGTTAGATTGTTAATCCCAATTTTCATCACTAGGTGAGGCGACATAGGTCATAGCGAAAGGGTGACTAATACTCAAGTTGGTTTGCAAGATTTTCATTGAGACGAGGGAGAGCAACTTTCTTTTAGATTGAGAGGACTACAGTTAGGAAATTGTTTTGATTTTATACGACTAGACTGTAAAAGACAACAAAAATGACTGACGCGTTCGATTTTAGACTTCAAAAGTCCATGGTAAATCCATCAGATTTTTATTTGAATCTTTATTTACGAGTTACTCTTTGATATGACGAAGGTCTCTTTGTTTGTTTTGTGTTTTGTAACAGGAAACAGAAAGCACATGCGTCTGGAGCAAAAAAGTGGCCAGGTACACGACGTGATTTTTCATTTAGCAGTGAAATCCCGAATACGTAAAAGTAGAGGGTGGTTTGGTGGGGAAGGATTGGGAAATCGGGAATAGATGTTTCTGAACTTGTGTGATGGTATGGCTCACCTGGATAAGCATCCCTTCGTAATCTTTGAGCATAGAGTCAGCGAAACGTTAAACTCACACTTCTTCAATAGACTAATGATTTTCTTCTTATTACTCACTCAGATGATTCTAACCTATAACACCACGACCAACGAATCACGAGTTGTTTGGACTGAACCTGGACTTGGAAATGATACCCATTCGTCTTACATGATGTGCCAAATGAGTTGGCACACGGTCAGAGTTACCAAACTGGGATCTAACCTAACCGTCGCCTTAGATGACGTCCATTCCGTCAGCAAGCCGGTAGGATATGGCACTAACATGACCGGGAAGCTATTTCTTGGTGGATATCCAGGTAAAATTTCATTATTGATGTTAAGGAGAGTGAAATCTGGGGTAAAAATTTCTGCGCCTCCTCGACATGCAAATGACAGCTCTTTTTTGCACTGATCTTTTGATTGCTCTTTGACAAAATTGAGCCTAAGCGAGAATTAAGATGTAATCGTGTTTTTTTTTTTCTCGTACAGGTTTATTATCTAGCGAGGTTCAATGCCCCTACTAACGTAGGACCGGAAAGAACAAAATATGCTCACGGAGTTACAAAGTTAACCTTTAGATATACTGGGAAAAATTGACACTTACTCTTAGTGACCACTTAAGAAAATACCTTGACCTTGAAAGTTTGTGATATTCGACTTCTCCTTTACCGCGGGAACTCTATTTATCACAATAAGATACGTTGAATGCCACAAATTTGATGTTAGTTTTTCTATTTTCAAACTACAGCTTATCAGTTGGAAGGATATCATTCAGTTTTCACGGGATTCAAAGGCTGCCTCAAGGAGTTTACCATGGACGGAAATACTTTACATTTCGCAGATTTAACGCAGCTTTCTCATGTCTCATTGGCCTGTCCACTGGGATCAAGCGAAGGTGGAATATAGCGCAAAACCTTAAGACTGCTAATTAAAAGGGTTAAGTCCCTTTACGAAATGCTCACCTGATTTCTGTTTCAGAACATATTCGTCAAGCCAAAAGATAAATAAGCTTTTCTTCCTTCTTTACTCTAAGAGACAACTGTGCTGTTTCTGTGACATACGAAGAGAGAATACTTTATGCACTTTTGGATCCAGGGGACGACAGTAAAAATATACTTACGTGTCCGATAAGTTGATGTACAAGGGAGGTAAGATGTCTCAACAGATATAAATGTGCCCAAAAAGGGTTTACAGATTTGCCTTTTGAAAAGCCTTTTCATGAGGAAATATTCATGCAACGTCTGAATAAACGCCAATCTCCATATCCACTACGGTCGAAGTTGTGTTAAAAGGCACCGGACTAAGTGGTCACCCTGTATTAAGCTACACGCTTTGGTTGGGTGGCCAAAGTCCCGAATCTGTTTGGATCTGTGATTTTTACCTCTATTAAGTGGTCACCTCATGATAGAGCGGTCGTTATTACCCTTTATCAAGGTCTCCTTGTATTAAGGAAGGAAGTTTCTAACGAAACTTTGATGCTGCGTCGATGGGAGAGTATAACAAAGCAATTTGGGTTTTATCAACTAAGTTGATAAAGTAAATTGGCCTCCGTAAAGAGTTTCAAAGCTGACGTCTGGGCGAATCATTTGCTCTGACGAAGGACTAACGCTCGAAATGTCAGCTTTGAAACTCTTTACGGCGGCAAAATTGCCTATTTGTATTGTCTTCCACCTGTTTAAACGGTAACTTAAAGCCGAACCATCCAAATAAAACTAAGAATATATGTATTCTTCCAAGTAATTTTAAAGCCATTTTACTCTCCAAAAATCAAGGTAAATAGCATTGTTAAGCGAAATCTATACATTAAATGGTCAGTTATGGCATGAAATGGCGTTTTTATCGGTAGCAATACCCTTGATCTGTGGAACCTGTATTTATCGGTCAACCTGTTTTAAATCACGAGTGACTAATCAGACCGTCAAAAATCTCATCAAAGCTCGATATAATATACTTCCCTATTTGAGAACTCTTCCTGACACTTACCGTGGCTAGGTCTTCATCTGTTCGCTTACCTTTTGAGTTAAGAGACACATAGGCTCAGGGCTCTTAACTACATCTTCTCTCGACTATTTACAGACAAGTAATTGAAATCCCAGGTGTGACAAAGGACATGTCGTGACCTGTACCTGTGCTCATTATACCATTGTTAGTAACGTGTTATTTACTTTCTTTCAAAAAACTAAGAAATTTCATTGGGACTATTTTAGGATAAACTGATTTAAGGGGATTCTAGTCAATCTTCTGGGTCTTGAGCTGCATTTGACGGGACTGAAATAACCCCTCTCCCATTACAGTGGAATCTTACGCTGTAAACAGCAAGCTGTTCGTAGACATTTTTTCACGCGCCTTGTGAAATATTTGATGGATAACAAAGGTCAACAAACACAGTTGCTTCTATTTTGAGCGAAAATATACTCGTATAGTTGCCCTTGAACATTACCTGTTCCTCGAAGCTCTCAGTTTTCCTCGAGCTTCGATCTTGGAAAACTGGTTGCATCTTGGAACAGATAATGTCCGCGGACAAGTAGCCGTACATATTTTCGCGCCAAATACAGGCTATTGTTTAAACATCGCTGATAGATATCGCTTATTCTCTCCTTAAAAGCTTATCCTAATTCTTCACATAAAGTATTTCTCTCTTTATTTTGTTCGATAGAAAACTACACCGTTAGAGGTTGTTTATTTCATCAAGTGTGATCAAGCTACTGTTAATAAGTAAAAATTACAAGGTAATAAAGAGTTGAGAAAGAGCTCCTGAATTTTACCAGTAGAATAAATGAAAACTGAAAATAAATAGTAAGACAAATAAAATAGACACCTAATCTGAAGACAAGAAAGAACCTTTTCTTAAGCTTCTGCTTTTCAGAGAAGGCAACAGGGAAGAAAGACTCATTCACGTTTTCCATTGCTTTTATTCTACAATCTAATTTCCACGGAAGAAAGAAATCTCTCTCTTGTACTCAAAAAGAAAAGAAAGCAACGAATAGATTGAGACATTCTGTGTTGTCCATGAGCTCTGACCAATTTTTGTTATTGAGGTGATCGTAAATACGAGGTCCTTTAAAGAAAAAATAAAGAAAAAAGTTTAAGCATCTATCATCTCAATTAAGTGTAGCCACTATTACTAGCAGTGCTTTCAATACTCAAATGACAAGTAGGAGATCTTCCATACAAAGGTTATCTGGTTTCTCAAATGTCTCAGTGTATTCTTCTACCACCTGAGAAACAATGTATTACAGGTCTACTTACTAGAACAAGTTATTATTAATCTTTCAATTCTTTGCCTTGAATTATATCATACGACCCCTGTTATACAGCTGGGACAAAGAATATCAAAAACAAGCTGGGTTCTCAATGGTCTATAGGGCTTACACCAACAAACCATAACTCCCTTAGATGTTTGCATCTCATTTTTTACACGTTAAGATACTTTAAGGAAGAGGCAAACTTTACTATCTGCAAAGTTATTATTAATGCTATTGAGGTTCCAACCAATTGAATACAAAGTTATGTTGTGTTTACAGAATCAGGCAAGATCATTCACTGTCATTTTTACATGAAGTCATCAAATTCATCTCCATAATCATAATTTCCACCACCAAATGCATCCAAGTCCTCTTTTCTGCCAGCCTTGGCACTAGCTCCTGAGAGAGTGGCTTTCTTAACAGCCTTTTTACTTTTCTTTGCCTGTAAAAAAATATCATAGAAGTAGTGAGAAGTTCATCATCCTTCTGGTCCCTAATTTAATATTGCAGCTAAACCACAAACTCAGGACATGACAATTGTAAGCTTCATTCAATCCAATTTGCTGCATATTGTTTTGTCTCCTCCCTAATAAGAGAGGATTATACTTATGCACAGGTGTTATTTTCTTATGGATATTTTGGACTTGTAACAGAAAAGAAGAATTATCATAAGCATCAGACAACTAATTCGTGTTTTATGAGAAAAGCTGGAAGCAACAGAGAAGCAACATAGTGTAAATGGGCCGCTCTAAAGAGTTCAAAGGGTCTAAGATGAGTCTAAACTCTTTACAGTGGCCAATTCAAACTACCTGTATCAACTGCGTTTATAAAACCAAATCATCCTATTAAACTCTCCCACTGACACAGCTGAACCAGCTTTAGAACTTACACCCTTTAGACATTTAATTAGCCTCTCAGGGTGAAGTACTCAAAGAAAAAGTTATTACTCCTTGTGATAGACATGTATATGTATGTAAACTATGTTTATATTCTGCCTCAGTGTTATCTTAAATTCATTTTAACTCTCTCCTTGTGTTTCCTGCACACAGTTATGCATAATATGTATGACAACCATTTTGATTTCTCAAAGCAAATTGACAAAACCTTCGTAGCACTTTGAAATTTCTACTAGTACAAAAAAATGTGATTTACCTTCTGTGCTTTTAATTTTTCTGATGAGAGGACATTTATTGTGCTACCTAATCGTTTAACATCTTCAGCATCCACTGAAAAAAAATGACAATGCATGTAAAACACCATAGTGCCTACAAAGGTTTCTGTTCATTACAAGATAGAGAAAGCATGGGTGCCCATAGATATGGAGATATCAAGTTGAACATGAGAAGAGAAATTCCATATCTACAAGCAACCATGCATTATTTTGTTAATCATACATAGATTCAATAGCTTTTTATTAATGAACGAAAAAAAATAGAATCCACAATCCCTCCCCCCTCCTAACCAAAAAAAAAAGATTGTAAAGCCTGTTGGTGATAAAGCTCATGAAGAAATCTTTGACCAATCAGAGCACACACATTTCTAGTCACGAGAGCAATTATACTAAAAAAAAAAACAAATACTAACCACACATGACATTAACTTACATTATCAATTAATTATTCAGCAAAAAGCAATTTAAAATAGGTGCTGATGCTTAGTTTATATCCTCTAGTGTTAGACCTAGCCACAATTTCCCACATTTTCCTTACAAACATCCTGATAACAAAATTTATGGGGAAGTTTCCATATTTACAGTCAGATGACTGATTTGGTCTGCAGGAGGTTACCAGTGTACACTGTATGATCCCCTAGCCTCACCTTACTTTACAAGAGTCTATGTAGAGCCTAACACCCTATTAATGGTACCATGATTTGGAGTATGTGTATGTTTTTTTTTTTCAATTTTTTATTTATTTTCTTTTTTCATCCCAAGGAATACTTACAGCTTGCACATAAATCTCTAAACAGCATTTCCAAGAAAGGGACATATTCTGCATTGGACTTAAAACAAAAAAATTAATTAAAAGTTATTCAAAGCACCTTCATAATTTCTCACCTTTGAGGCAAAAATGTTATAAGAAAAACCTCTGTACTAAGTACTAACAAAGAATGCCAGAGTCTGATGACCTAACAATCATTAGATATTGGAAAGTCTCCTTAACTTGTTCACACTACCTAATTTAATACTCTGAAGCCAAAGGGGCAGAGTGTTTAAAGCTTGGCCAGCACTGACTCTGTGTTGACAGCATAAAATAAACTATCTGTTACCAAGATATTAAAATCTGTGAAATTTAGTGTTAATAGTTCTCATAAAAATAGTGCTACTCCTCTCAAGAAATGTCCAACGTGCCAGAAATGTCTTTTTATAATGAAAGAGGTTTCAACTATATGCCAAAGTGAGTGATACAACTAAGACATCTCTGACTCATACCTCATAATTGGATAATTTTCCTACAAGTAATTTGGACAGTTCTACAAACTCTTCTTTAGTTGAAGGATTCAGGTCATCTATACTTTTAGATCCTACATCATCTTTCACACCTGACAGTTTGAAGAAGAATATTGTTTTGAATGGTAATTTTTTTCTAAATTTAATCAACCAATCTTTATCAATCAATCAGGGCCGTAGCTAGCATGAGCCAAGACGAGGCAATTGCCTTGTCTTAATTTTGGCCTTTTTAAATTTTTTTCTTAAAGATTGACTTTTCTGAAGAAAAATGCCACAGATAATCCTTAAAAGAGCATTTCTAAACCTCTAGATTTCAAAGTTTTCTGGGGGGCATGCCCCCAGACCCCTCTAGCCGCTTGCGCCTTCAGCACTCGAAACTTGCCTCGTCTTGACCTGAAATCTGGCTACAGCCTTGACAATTTTTATTTTTTTTGGCACTATTTACAAATAATTATTTCTACATTAGAGTACATTAACCTATTGATGTCCAGTGCACCCATGGGGACCTACACCCTTTCTACGCCTTGTGACGTCATCACTTTTAACCCCAGAGCACAACTTTGAGCACATACTTGAACAGGTTGAAAATATCTTACAAATGATACCAGAATGAGTGCAATTGAGTGAAGGAGATTGGAGAAATAGCCAAAATACCATGTAACTTTGACCTGAAAATCTGCACGAAAATCTTGTTCCATTACCCACCTACCTTTCTGAGCATGTGCTTTGAAAATAATGAGTAGTTTCCCAAAAAATCTCTACACCAAAATGAAGCCTACTAAATTTCCAGCAAGTGAGGAGAAACTTCAGGCAAGGAGAGGGGAAACAAAGGGCAGGAGAAAGAGAGAAAAGTAAAAGTCGTAAGTGGGGCATTACTTTTCAACCCAAAAACTATCTCGAAATTTTGCTTTCTGCGCGTGCCCAAGATTTTCAGGCTGCCACTTTGCATTTGGATCGAAAGGCCGTCGAGTGTATGAGCTGTCAAGGGGTTTTTGGTAAGTTTGAGCTTTTAAAACCAC